GGAAAAAAATAAAAAATTGACTTATTCATCTGTAACGTATTAATAATTATGCAAATTTAATTTTTGACTATAAAAAATTATAGAATTCCGGAAATTCTATTGTAATGAATTTCTACGTAAAGTAAGCTATTTTATATATCGCAAGTTATCTTAGCTGTGTAACTACGTAATGTGTATTTGAAAGTCTTCGTAATAATATTCTATTCTAAGTTTCGAGTAAAGAAGTCAAAGTTTAATTTCAAGGTGCTCTATTTCTAGTACAGTCACCCATCTACAGAATATCATCATCATCAGAATAATCATCTCATTGGGTCACAAATAATTTTTAAAATATTTTCTCAATGTATCCATTTATGCTCTGCACTAAATATGGGAATAGGAGATATTTATGTTTATAGGAAACATGTCCCTTCCTACGCAGTTGTAGCGCAAAGTACTATTATATATTCTGTGGCGTAAGATGTGAGTCTGTCGCCAGCATGTCTGAATCGACACCCGGCGAGTGGTGACTTCTAAGGGAGACTCATAGTCTGTCCCGCTTGCTGGCATCGGTTGTTTTGGCATTTAATCTTAATATCGTGGGTGTAATGGTAGAGTCGGATATCTACCCATAATAGACATCGCGTAGGTGGTAACTAATGACTTCCAGGAGATTTCTATAAGATAAATAATGTTGTCTAGATTTTTTGCCTTTTCGAATTTTAATGTGGTATGTTTAATTACTTACTTAAGTCATATAATAATAATAATAATATAATATCTCAGGACAATTCACACAGCGTCATCTAGTCCCAAGCTAAGCTATGTTATGGGTACTAGAAAACTGATATAAATACATGGATATACTTTTTTTGTAAACAAATACATATTATACATAGAAAACACCCAGACCGATACAAACAATCATACTCATGAATACTAATGTTTGTGCCGTACGAGGAATCGAACCCACGACCATCGGATATTAAAGCGGTGTGCTAAACCACTAGACCACCGAGGCTTAATTAATTATAAATGTACTGAAACATTTAACATGCTGGAAGTAGTTGGAAATAATACATATAGAATATTATTATACAACTATGTTAGTCGGACCAAAAATTCTATAAGCTTTTTTATATTTATTTTGGATTTTTTATGTGCATAGAATAATAGACAATTTTAATGGAAAATACAGATTTATCATATAAAACTACATGAAAATATTGTGCACATTTATACAGTCTTTGTACTTATATGAAAATCGGTTAGGTATAAATAAATCATGTTTGCTAAAAAATCTTATAAGAAATAAGTTGTGCAAAGTAAATTTATTACAGGCGAAAATAAGGTCGAGATAAATATTCATAGAATTAATAGGGTTTCGGATGCTTTCGTAGGGAAATCTCATTTCATGAGCCGCCTTCATATGGAGATCATCCTACATATACATACATTAAACATTTTAATTTAAGATAATATACTTTATTCTTAAGTTTTTGCAGCTATTATGACACTCACAAGAATACGAAATAAAATTTTCGAAAATGAACAATGACAATAAATGTACACTTGACATGTATATTTTAAACTATTTGTTGTGAATATTTTATTACATGCAATGTCATTAGATCACTAGTATACGATTTAACTACTATACCAATATTTGTAGTACAATATCAAAACTGTAATACGAGTATGTATTTATGTGATACGGTATGGACGGGCGACGAGGGTACGCTGAGGTTTGAATTTAAAAAAATCTGTCGCGTAAGAAGATAGTTAGAAAATTCACACAAGAGCGACATTTTGTTTGCAGTTACTAAAGAATCCCGCCTTGTCAGTGTGTGTATCAGTAAATATGCTTGAGCTGTGTGAGTACTACATGAGCTTTCCCGTGACGCTGCTTATGTCCTGCACTGCTTTCCTGTTCCATTGGCCTCTACAAGTCTCTCAATTCTTGGGTGAGCGTTAGCTTGGTACCTATTTATTGACCTTATTGTGTATGTGATCCCTTGGTAGTGTCATAAATCTACTATTTGAGCTATCGGTATTACTTTGTTTGTCTCTATCAATAAAGTTACTCGCGTGTCCTTTTTATACATATGTTCTTTTGTTTGTTATTTTTTTAACACGTCTCATGTGTCGACTGAATTAGCCGGGTAGACAATAAATCCCAATCCAACCATTCCGTTTATTTTTATTTCTCTAACTGTTCCCTTACGTGACAATGCACCATTATAAGCTGCAATAACAGCAATAACATCTCTTTATAGAAAGATTGTTTAGTAATTGACGATTACTAATTGTAAACGCAGTAATGATCAATTTAGTAAAGTAGATAACTAGTTTTTAAAATATAGAGAGCGACATGGGTGTACCCAGATAAATTTGACATAACGATACGATTTTATTTTTTTGTTTTTCTCTTATTACTGAAAAATTATCAAATTTGTGTACTAACCTTGGCTTTCTCAAGCCGCTAAGTTAAAACTAAAGAATAATTACGAAGATATAGATAATTATATAACAGACTACCTAAACGACGCAACTTCGTTTGTGTCACATTTATCATAATATTTCGCCCAATTTACATGCTATTCTTTTTAAACCATAGCCTGTGTTATTCTGATGTATAAGCCATTAAACAGTAAAGTTTCATCAAACTCGTGAAAAACTATCCATCCATACAAACATCCATCCATCTGTACTTACAAGCTTTCGAGTTTATAATAGTAATAAGATTTAAAGACTTAATTGTTACCTAAAAAGTCGATGTACTCGTAGCTAGTAAGTTGTTGAATTGTCAGGATAATTCGTCTATATAAATAAGTGTATGTGTGGATGAGTACAGAAAAGAAGTAACAGAAATGTAGAATTAATGATTTCTGAATCTGTAGGTAAAGAAAATAGTAACGAGTATTAAAATAAATAAAATATGAAAGAGTTTATAAAGAAAAATTTAATACTCAAGCGAAAAAACTCAAGTTAAATTATTGTGAATTAATATTATTATGATGTGACTTTCCTAAACACATCTATTTGGTAGCTGTCTATCTGTCAATGTCTTACATGTCCGCCTATCATTCAGTTACTCCTCTCATAATATTGATATGCGAATTTAATAACAAAGAAATATACCTATAGACCTTCTATAGAATATTTATTACGTTTGTAACTAAAACTGTATTACAATAACGGCGTATAAAAAGAAGCGATTGACTTGTTCAGTCATCGTCATTTATGTATCCTTTTATAATTGGAAAATTATTGTATCGAAATACCGTAGAAACATTCTTGTGCTATTTATCATAAAGAATATAATCAGCACTATGTGATACGATCTTTTCTTTTTAATTTTTATTACATATGGTCCATAGATTTCTCTTTCGCATTGATAATTTCGAGCTAGTTCTTTATTTTTCTTTGCTAATAAAAAAATAAAGATCCTAGGTGTCATTAGCTCTATACAAAATGGACTGGTATAATTGAGCTCTGTTCTTTGATCGCTCTTACGATATGCTAAGAATGAAAAGTAGTGCCATAATTATTCTCCCTTCATCACCGACAATTTTATTATATAAAAGCAAGGTTATTTTTGTCGAAGTTATGACGTCATTATCGCTCACTTCTGCTATTGCAGGCAAATCATTATGGCAGTAACGTAGAAGTTTGCATTTTCGATATGATCGTGACTCGATCAGTAATGGCACATTTTAGTAGTCGCCTATTGGGATTCAAACTTTTCCAAATGCCAAAGATAAGTTTCGTACTTATTTTCGGGGTTGAGACGGAATGGAAAAACGGAAACCCATACGCTAAATCTTTCCAGGCATGACAATGCTGATGAGTTTTCACTTATAGATTCTGTATTAAGATGTAGGTGTTCGTATTTTCAGTAAAAAAATTGAATCAATCACTTATTATTTATTACCTTACACTATAAGTATTTAGGCATAAAAGATGAAAGCAAAATTGTGATTTTTTTTTATTAAAAGTAAACTAATACTCATAACTGACCTTTTTCTATACGTATTTTGTATTATAAAATACAGGGTCGATGTAAATAACATAGAACTATAAATACTATAACTATAAATAACAACTCTTAGAAATTTTGATTTAATTAATGGTGTAGTCTGGCAGTGCACCAGTAGACGATGATGAAGTCACGCCAGTCAGTCTCTCAGGTTGAATACACTAGGAATTAAATATGTACGTTGGTCTCAAGAAGGTACCACGTGGAGGTAATGGTAGTGATTGGAATCAGCCCATTACCTCAAGTAAATTTACGACAAAACTACAGAAGTAGGTATACTTTAAAAGCAGAACAGTGGCATCAACTCGTATTACCTATTGTAGTCTGAACTGGTGTTATTGTGATGAACTAGAATTTCAAGATATTACATCTTTTTTATTTCTTTATGGACTAAAAATTTACTAAATTTCATATTACTACTTAATCTTAAGTTACAACATCCTATGTAATCAGTAGATCAGTTTCATAATATTGATTAATGGTAAATACAAATGAAGAGAGAAAAACAAGTCTGGATAAAAAGGAATTCCTAATAATATTTAAATATAAATATAACGCAAGTCAGCTGTATCCGAAACAAGCAACAGCGTAGTTGTGACGTCATTAGTCGTTTAATGTAATCCATTGTATTATATATCTACTTTGTAGGCTCTGGATTGTTGAATTAATCGATCTCATAGATAGAAGGTGATGAGCTTTAAAAATATTTCGGTTATCATATAGCCCATAATAGTTCATGTCATTTTATATATACCACCACAGATAATATATGATACCACTAATAAGATCGATGTTATATTATGTTTGAACTGTAATCGCTAAGAACGCTACACATACCTATATAATGTAATCTAGTAATTATTGACTCGATAGCATTATGGTATTTTATACGTCTGATAGCTATACTGCATGCTTGTGGACAATGCAAACATTAATGTGTTTACGTGATATTTACTACATTGAGTATATAAAGTACTCTAACCTGTAGATTATGGTAAAACCACAGTGATCCAGTAACAGATATGGCAAACCATAAGAATAATGTGAAGACAGATATTTGGCTGAGGTGTAAAGCATTCAGTAAAGTGGAGAGCACCACAGCTAGAGCGTGGCACAGGACAATTGGCAACGCGCAGCGGTCGATGATGTCCCATGGCACCTCCTGCACAAAAATATTTAAACATAGCATATATTTCTAATATATATTTCTATTAAAACTATTTTTTAGCATGTTATTTAAATCAATATAAAAGGCGAATTTAGCATTTATCGCAATGTTCATGTGAATGTCTCTGTTTCTTTTTCATCAAAAGTCTCTGTAAGAAACAAAGACACTTACAGTTTAATTGACATTTATTAAATTACTTTACAATATACTAATTAATAACTTTCGTGATATTGTCATTAAATAGCATAAAACAAAGTCGCGGTCGCTGTCTGTCCGTCCCTATGTATGCTTAAATCTTTAAAAGTACGCAACGGATTTTGAAGCGGTTTTTTTAATAGATAGAGTGATTCTGGAAGGAGGAAAGTTTATATGTATAATACGTACACCCGTGCGAAGCCGGGGCGAGTAGCTAGTTATATTACATAAAGAGTTAGATGCCATACCATTTGGTATTTTTTGTCTGTAATATTTTTATCAAACATAATGGTGAAGTAACAATAGGTAAGTTTCCCACAACCTTTGATACCTCTGTTGTCTTTAGAATAGTATATTTAAAAAAATATACAATAAAATGCGCATTTAGTTTGTGGTTAAGGTAAAAAATCAAGAGCAATATTCGTTAGGAAGTTAAGTTAGTACCTATTTCGAGATTGTTTAGAGTGCGGTGTTTTAGATGTGTTGTGTTAATGATACCTTACAATAATAGTTTAGTATTAGGTATTAATTAGGTATATATTAATAACTTAATATATATTACTACCAAACTAACTACCTATGATTATAAAGCCACAACTACAATTTTTTTCAAACAATGACGTTGGCGAACTATCAAAATTGATGGCAGCCATTTGAAATAAAGAAGAATGATGAATATGTAAAAGTGGATAGACAAAATTACTTTAACGTTTTTAATATTTATAAGAATTTCATATCGATTACAGAATACATTTGCGTCATGTTATTGTTATTATGTTCGGCCATCGAATCAATTACCTCCCTTCTAAAAGTATCAACTGTAGTCGGCCAGACAGAATCATCACTCTTTGATGAGTCGTAGGCGTATTGACTAAATTTTTAAGGAAAATGGAGATAGATGTCTCCTTAAAAATTGGCGTATTTTGTTTAGTTTAGATGATAAAAAGATTTTTTGAAAGTTTATACATAATAATGGTTTTGACGACATATATAGGTAAAAACTATTTATAATGAATTTCCAGGTAGGACTGGAAATGAATTATAAATAGTTCCAGTTATGTTATGTAAATAAGAATTTAGGTTTAAATCCTAATTTTAGCGTACCTACTAGATACTCATATTGGACTTAAAGAATATCAAAGTTATGTTGGTAAAAGACAAATAAAAAATTTGCTAAAAATATTTATTACATTTGTGTTAGTAATAAAGAAGAATATAGCACTGGACTCAGTAATGGTTGTAGTAGATGTATCAGTTAAATTTCATACAACTATGTAAGTATAAAAGTTCTATCACCTGAGATTGGGACTGTGGGTTCTTAATAAGAGAGCCTCGGCGCGCTGATGGCCGCCGATGCATGGAAGGAGCAGTGATGGATGCCCGCCGCGTCACGTCCCCTGCAGCCATCCTCGTAACCGGTCAATTTTATGTTATTTTACTGTAGACAAAACGTCAACATAAATGTCCAAACAATATGTACAAAATTGTCGTAGAATCTGATCCGTATGTAAATTTTGTGGAAAGTACAATAGTGAGTATCGGTTGATATTTGTTGCATACTGTACATTTTATAAGTGTCTATATTTATATAGTACGAATAGTGCTAGCTATACCATTCATTAATAGGCTTTTACATTTATCATTTCAGCCTGTGTGCACTTATTTATTTATAGAGAAATGTATGAAATACACATTAAATTATTGAAATTATTTAATGTATGGAATACATATATAATTTATTTTAATGATTTATGTAATCTAAACTTAACTAATGGACGTATTTTCACGTTTGCAGATGATACTGCATTAATATTTCATGGAAGGAATTTGAATTAGGACTTCAACAAGTAATGAAATGGTTAAATAACAACATTCTCACTTTAAATGTCTCGAAAACAAAATGTATACTATTTGGTATCAATCATAACAACCTGCCTTCAGTATCTACTTTCCAACTTGCACACCTGTGATATGGATGATAATATGTGTTCATGTCATTATATAGAAAGATGTAAAATGCTTAAATATCTAGGAGTGATCGATGAGTGTTTAACATGGAAACCTCATATCAATGATATAATTAATAGGGTCAGACGTTTAATGCCTATTTTTAGAAAAATTAGACATGTTGCAGACTTCAGACTACTAAAATCAATATATTTTGCACTGGGCCAATCTATTTTATCATACTGTATTAGAGTATGGGGTGGCTCTCGAAAAACAATCATTTATACTTGAAATAATAAAATTCAAACCTTACCGATTTTCCACAAAAGAATTATACTTGGAATGTGACGTACTAACAGTAAGGCAATTATATGTAAAACATTTAATGAAGTATCAACACAAAACTGTTATATATAATCAGGAAGCATATAAAAATCTAAGACGAAAGGACAGGGTTTGCCTAACAAAAAAGTTTAACACTTACTTCATTACAAAGTTTCAATGCTTTGTTGGACCGCGAATATATAATAAGATAAATAAAATATTAGATATACATCACTTAAATTTACACCAATTATTAAACAAATTAGTACCATGGTTAAAAACGCTCGATTATGATACTACGGAACAATTGTTTAGAATATTATCCTAATTTAAATAATATAACGTAAAATAAAAATAATTAAATAAGTATATATATACATATGTTTATATATTGTATGTAGTGTGTGAATATATATGTATATATCTATATGCGAAATATATTTGTTGTATGTATTGATATGTTTAATGAATATAAACAACACTTAATGTATTATGTGGTTGTGCGTATAAACAAATAAATATATATATAACCTTTTTTTTTTTTTGTAAAAAACATGTTTTATTAAAATATAAGATAAGTTTCTACATTTAGTGGTCGCACTTGCAAGTATCTATGCACCGATTGTAGTTGGACCATACGATGTGACGCATTCATTGCCGATACGATTTATTTTATTTATAAGTATACCCTACATTAGTCTTATTTTTTTCATTCGACTCTTAAGAATCGTATAGCATGTTATCTTTAGGTGGGCAATGGTGTCTGAGATACAGGCTAGGCCTAGTTTAGACACTACTGTACTGGACTTGATATTAAATAGTTTTATGAACTATTGTATATATATAAAATAATATAGATATATAACCTTAGTTAAGTCTCTTTTGTATTTGTTTTTTTGCACGATAAAGTTATTATTATTATTATTATATAATTAACGGTATTTTATTATATTATTGTTATTATGTATTAATATTAAAAAGTCGCCTTCAATACAGGACACATTGGACTTCTGTTTAATGTTTTTACGGTCTAAGGTTAGTCGTTATTATATTTGGACATTATAATTCATAATCCAATCAAAATAGGCCAAAAAAATGATAACTTAGCCAAAATTGGCATAGAGCGGAAAATAAATTAGACGAGAGAGAGACGTTAAATAAACCATTACAAAAGAAATGTGAATAACCCCTTCGATTCTACTTCTGCAAAAAAAATTACCAAAAATATTATCGTCAAAATAGGTTAGACAAAAGTTGTAGATCATATAATTCTCTACACAAATTATTCTACTACTTTTTTTCGTACGAATCACCATTCGCGATATCGCGATTTTAAAAGTTGAAAAATTCATGGTCTCCATAATATGCACACATTTCCGCACCACCTATTAGGTAATCTACTTAACGCATTTTTTTAACGAGGTTTCCCCAGTAAGCATACCTGACGATCTATTGTGATAAAAAAAGTTTGATCAGTATACAGATCGTATCCTATTGATTGAAAGAATGGTACTATTGCTTATATTCAAAGTGGAACAGATTGATTTCTTCTAATTGTTATTATTGTAAATAATTTTCTAATTATACTTCAACAATTAATTCTTCATCTTCACTTTCTACTTCTTCTCCTTGCAGAATTTTTGTACGCTGTCCTAAGTATTGTCATCTCTTGTATTTGATTCAATATTGTTTAATCATGGCAGTTCTTATTTATTAATATTATTATAATATTTTATCATGACGTAGTTTAATGAATATTTCATACCTTCTCTTTGGTCTATTATTTTAGGCATTGCATTATTACTTATATTAATGAATAATTTAATTTGTATTGATAGATAGAATTCATACCATAATAAAGAACTCAGCATTACAACAGCCGTAAACTAAACGGTATGCAAGTTCTTCTGCAACTCCCTTCAATTCTTGTTATACGAAACAATAGCAGTAAAGTAGTAGTAGTTTAATAATGGTTTGGCCATTTTTTCTCTTACTTGACTATATTCGCGAATATTTTTATTTATACGTTGTTTTTTTAAGGTCTCTTGGTTTTGTTGTAGTGTCTTACCATTAATAATCAAAATTGTGTTTTGTAAGACGACGTTAAAAAAAACATTGTGTATAAGATTTAACATTGTTTTTTTTTGTGTTTGTTGTTTGTGTGGAATAAATACATAGTTGGTTATGATAAGAAAATTTGATTTTTTACGCCAAATGCACCACATAAATAATATGCGATTCATAAATGTACAAATGTTACAAAGCAAATATAAACATTATGGACAAATAAAGACGGCTCGGTTAGAGCGATCAGGGGTGTAAATGTGACTGTCTCAAGGGAGCTCTGGTGCAGCGTCATAAATAGAAAGTGCAGTTGATGTAAATGTCGCGAATCATTCTCGACATCAGTGGCTGGGCAGGCTGAAGCATTTATTTTTATGCCCAGAACGCCCGCATAAACGTGGCTTGAGCCAGTTTCATATTATGGTTTCTGATAGGCGTCGCGTGGGAGTTACATTAATTTAATATCCGACCATTTGTGATGATACAATTATAGGAATATCTACATTTACAGTAATATAAAAAGGAAATCACGTCTTAATATTATTTACTTTTGGACTACTTAATACGAATATTTATCTGTATGTACAAGTTATCATTATCATTAATGATTTTTGAAATATTTATAGAATGCAATCATCACGTATAAAGTATTTAAAAAATTGAAATTGTTTCAATACAAGCTTATATTTGTAATTTATAATAAATTACAAGTTAAATGACTTAAAGTAAGAGAGGGACTTTACTAGTTTACAATAACAAATGAGTTTATTGATTTTAATTAATCGTATTGCTGAATATATACTCGTAGATTAAATAACACTGGTATTATTCAATGTATGTGGTTGATAAATCTTTATACGACGCATCATTTAAACAATCGATGCATAAATTACATTTTTATTACTGGTCATTGTGATTCTTATCTAGGTTTATTTACTTACCTAAAGAGAAATGTGTTTATTTTTATTCTATGACGTTTAAGTACGCGGTGCACCAACTGCCCTTTCTCTTTTATAATGTCTTCCCAAAGGGTGTCTGGAATAGATTGCTGTACTACGAGTAGTAAAAAAAACTCGCATGTAGCGAGTTTTATTTACTATGTACTTAATTTATATCATTTCCTGTGTCAGTATTCAGTATAATACAATGTGTTCATATTTTGAGTTTATATTTTTTTTTATTAATTTGTGTTGAAAGAATTTGCAAAATATCTATCAGGATGTATACAATTAAATTTAAAAGGACAAAATGTTTTAATATTAATATAAGTAGCTATATCTATATATGTTTGTGCATTATTTACAATCTCTATTAGTATAATAATAAGAGTTATTTAATACTGAAAGTACAGGGTGACCATATATTTAGTAACTTACTATAAATAGTTTTTTAAGGTTATTAACTATAGGCTATAAATTAAGTATAGGCAAGTAAGAACAAATGGTTAAGTACGAAATATTTTCATAATGAGTACTGTACATTAATAAGTTTATAGACAAAAAAATATACCATAATATACCTTTAGCTTCGCTAAACAGTTTAAATAGATAATTAATTAAGATATCTATTATATAATCTTACTAATATTATAAACGCGAAAGTTCATGAGTATGGATGTATGATTGTTACTTTTTTACGCTAAAACTACTGAATGGATTTTGATGAAACTTTACAGTAATAGCTTAGCTTAGCGTGTACAACAGAATAATATAGGGTCGTAATCATTTAAGCTATCGCCAATTTAATTACATAGTTTTATGTTTCTTAAATAATAGCGTTTGCCCGCAAAATAGATTTGTCACCAAAATGTAGTCAATATAAAACAATATAAAATCAATTCCACAGTAAATCACCTAAAATCATAGATATAGGGTCTAGTAGCAAATAAATGTTTTTGTATGTATTATAATAGATTTGTCCTAATAAGTATTTAAGAAAATGAATTTAATGAGATCACTAATAAATCATATGAAGTCATTAGAAAATTTCATAAAGTTCCTACTAGAGATATGCCTCCCCCAAGGATCTTAATTTCCACGGGTAGTATAAATATATTTTAATAAAAAATTTAGCAGAATAGTAAATAAAAAAATTAAAGTAAATAATCAATTTTTATTGTTAAAAATAATAATTACTGAATAATCAGCGCTGGTTTGGATTGGCCGATAAGCACATTTTTTGCTTCTGGTGGGGGTTTGGCCAGCTTTAAGTGTATGGCTAATCCGATAATATGTTTGCACATATATTTTTTGTAAAACGCAGGGCAGTTGCATTTCCATCGTTGAGGCCGGATTGGTCAATTTATAAGAGAGCGCCAATTTGTTTCGCGTCTTTGAACATATTTTCATTAAAATTATAAATTGATGTATTAAATTGGTAACGAATACTATTATTTTAATAACTGAACGAAATAAAATGTAACTACTGTATTGGGACAAAATAACAAATAAAAAGGAGTCGCAGTCAGGGATCGATAAAATCGATTTATTTGGTGACAGATTCTGAGCACAAAACTATTATGTAAGTAATGAAACTGCAATTATAAGAACGAAGTTTATATTCATCTACTGCACTAAAATTTTTTTGGTAATCCATTTCTTATTTTATCAACATTAATTTGATAATTCATATCTGGGAACACGTTTTGTTTATATGAATGAGAACGAAAATATTTAGTTGCGATAGATCTATTTATTAAGTGATACAACTTGATGTCAAATATAAATTTTGGTCACAAGAAATATACTCGTAGTCCCCAATAACATATAGGCTATAAATTTCATGCGTGTGAAACCGTGGGCATAGCTAGTATTAAATAAAAATTCACAATGAAACAGGAATATCTATTTCGAAGGTAGTTAATTAAATATATATATCTGTATATATCTGTCAACTGACAACGATTTGGAGTAATAAAAGAAAACATATTACTATATACTTTTTTTTTTCTTTTTTTGTATTTGTGTTTGAATATATATTATATTCAAACACAAATACAAAAAAATTGTTCGTAACAATTTTTATGATTACTATATTACCTATGTATGTGTGTATTTGGATATCAAGCTTAATACATAATCTATTTCAAGTCAATGATGTGTGATTCAATTATAAAATATTATTAAATATCAAACAAACTTATTTACCAAGTGAACTATGTGACAGCTTCATTTGACGCGATTTATGTTTACATATTGTACTTTAGCATTCAGCATACTGTAGCATTCCCACACGCCAGCATGACATGATAATATTTTAAATACAAAAATATGTTACTTCTGTAAGATATCTTTTTACTTTAAATGAAACGTTTTTTACTTGTTGTATTTATTTTGCGCACCACTTCCCATTACTAATCCGACAAGGTGGGGTTTTCTTGTTACTTCACTTCGGTATATAGGTACATATATAAATCAACTGGGTTGATGTGAATGAATTGCGTCGAATAAAGTTACATAATTATAATCCAACTTGGTACTATGATCCATTTGATCTCTAATAATGTTTCTCGCCTCACTCTATGCGATTTGTGTTTCCGTATAGTTGTTATGTTCAGAGAATTGTAATAAAGTATGTGGCGAATCAATGGAACTGTAAACAGATAAGATAACATACATTAATTTTCATGTAAGTAATCGCTTATTTATCTAATAAATAATATGCAACGTAATTCAGCTAAGGAGTGATGAATATAGAATACATCTCGCAAACTGATTATTATTAGCTATACTAATATTCCTATTGCCTGGCGAAAGTTAACTAATTAGATAAGGTTAACATTAGGTTGAAAGAACAATGGTTCACCAAGAATTTCAAAAACAGTCCGCGAGTCAATGCCTAATTTCGTCAATTATTTCTATTCGCCCAAAAACTTCTAAAATGGTCAAGATAGTTGTCCTACAAAACTTAATGAAAGTCAGCTGCGGTTCAGGTAAGTTGAGGAGTAGTATTCTCCCAAACATAATAGGTAGAAAGGTCATTGAAACTAAGACAAACTTAAAAGAACTGTTGTTGTCTGTCACAATCTTTATTAGACAATAAAAAGTTCTCTATACAAAAATATATACTAAAATTCTTATAGAAAATACAATCTAAATATGAAATAGAAAACTATATGGCCTAACTATAAATATATGAGTACTGAACAAAAAAGTTGTCCGATAATCTTAATTCATAAACAAGAACTTAAATTGATTGTTTAAAGTTATTGCACAAAGTCTAATTTCATTAACATTTGTAAAGTTTGTAAGGTTTGTGTTCTGCTTTGTCATTTATTATTTTCTGAACCGCTTTCAAAATTAATGCAAAGGGCAAAAAAGCGTAAATGAACATTTATTGATATGATAGTGTAAATGCGTCCACAGCAAATGTAATTGGATCGATTCTCCAAGTGAAATAAAGTTCTTACTTTGCGTTTAGGTTTAATATTTTTTGTAGACTACTTTCGTTAGAGGGTTACTTCATAAGATAAGTTCCGTAGTTTGTATTAATGTTGCCAAGGAAGCACCAATCTGTTTTTGTCTAACCATTGTTAATTTCTCTAATACTATAACAGTTGCAATAGCTTAATGGCTTGGTATAGGCGGATTCAGAGAAACTACAATTAGCAGGTATTAAGTATTATTTTGGATTTTTGTCACGAGTTTCCTGAGGACACCCTTCCCATAGGTACTTATGTTTCTTTTAACCTCGATTTAACATCCTTGTTGATGATTTTGTTTTGACTTGTAGCTACCTATTGCATACGGAGGAACGGAATGGACACGGAAACACAGGATCATTGAAATATTCTGAAAACCACACTTGGCGGGTTAGTAGTGGGATTTTTTTTATGGATTATAATGGAATGGTACACCCGCCTACGCTAGCGGTTTACGCTGGCGGGGCACCAGTAGAGAATGATAAGATGAACATGAAGTCATGTCAGTTATTATCGTGACAAATTCATCAAGAATTTATCACGATAAGAGGGTTTCCAGGATCGCGTGGTCAGCTCAACCTGACATGGTACAGTGCTAACAATGAGATTATTAGTCCACAGTACTAATAATTCCCTTCCCCTTTTAGTAGTGGATAATGGCAGAGAAAGTCAATAGAACATCAAAAAAATATTTGTAGAAAATTAAAAAATAAATGTTTTGAAAATACCGTACGAGGCTAGCGCAATACGCTACTACAATATGTAAACACAAATCACAAAAAATGTAGTTGGAAACATAACTATACGTTATGAAGTCTATAAGAAATGAAATCGTCACGTGATAAAGTGGGTTTTTCATTATTATTGGCGACATATAGGCTAAAGACATCTTACAAAAATATTAATACGGCAAATTAGTAACGTTTTTTTTATTCATTTCAAAAACGCAATTTACTATTCTTTATTTATTTTATAAATTTTAGTTATGCAAATGCTAACTTAATTTAGCTTTTGATTATCTTTAATGTACACGCGGATAAAGTCGCGAGTACATTAAACTAGTTTAATAATAAAAAGGTAGGACTAGACACTGATGTAAACCGTGGTGGATGTCCGACGCTGTCTAACACGCCGTAACCGCAAAAGAGCTGCGCGATACGGTAAATTATGAAAGTGATATGACAAAAAATAGTTAATTGGTCTGTGGTAGCCACACGGTAGTCTTTGACTATATTAAAACGTTTAGTTGCTTGTTATTCCTTTTTAAGTATAACATAATTGGTACAGATACAATACCTGTTGTTCACATACTGTATAATATCTTTAATGTTAAAAAATAAAAAAAGAGGCTATAAAAATATAATAATTAAAATTAAATTAAAATAGCATAGGACAATTTACTATGAGATAATTTTTTACTAGAGTACTAAATTTATATATTAAGATCGTTGCATCCTTTTATATTAAGTTCTATTACAGTACAATAAATAATTACAAATAAAATAAAGAATATATAAATAAGGTTTGTTTTGTAATTTCACATTTACTTTAAATATTTTGCAAGACATGACCAAAATATAGAAACAAATTAGATTTATTACGTCATATGTCACGGATATATATATTAAATATATTATAATTTTATTCTGGAATGATCTTAACAAATATTATGGTTGGCTGCAGACGTATAGACGAGGCTGGTATAACCCGCACACTTTAAAGAATATCCTCCTTTAATTAAGAATTTTTATAATACAATAGTCAATTATAATTAGGATACGTATACTAAGGCTACGTATTTAAGCTTTTTTACATAGGTAGATAAATATTATATTTCAAATTATTCATACATGCTCCAATACCACTAGATACTTAATAAAACACTATTGACTTTATTGGTAATATCACTTTTGCATTCATTATTTCTTTTTATCGATATTTAATCCAATAATAGGAGTTTGTATTTATGAGCACTCCACTGGTATACATATCCTGTAATATGTTATAGCTATATTTATTAATTATTGTTGTCTCTAAATGAGTAAGTTTAGAATTCGTTACATATTCACTGTAGGGAAGCAATTATAATTTAATGAAATGCACGTACATTTAGATAATGCGCTTGTAATGTGGGCGCGGCGCGGGAGTTGGGGCGGCAGCGGCGGGCGGGCGTCGCGAGTCAATCGCGGACTCTCACTGCCCACAGTGCGCCGGCGCAGCGAATACATGTTAGCTCCAAATTTAAACACACATATAAGTATTATTATTTATTGCCACATATTCGCTTAGCTTGTAAAACCATATAACTATTCGATATGTTCCATGGAATGTTTTTGGCAAAACAGCAAAACATTACATTAGCTCCGCTTAGAGATTCGTATTTATAGATCAAAATAAAAGAAAATAAAATGGTTTCTTTTTCAAATTCTCATTATAAATGTTACGTGCGCAGTTATCTTTAGCACTACCAGTGCAGTTATTTATAGATCTGATTTATAGGTCTGTTGACAAAAACAAAACTCGATGTTTACGAATATTTTTTGTCGCATTATTATAATAATACATGGGTATTTAGTTATTCCTGGAAATTAAATAAGTACAAAGACACGATTTCGTAGAATTCATATAGATGAGATATAACTTATGATTAGTTATTTACACGTATCATAGGAAAATAGGATTTTTTACATTACTAGATGTAGTTTACGTGAATGACAAATGGTAATGTAAGAATTACGTAATAGCGAACGTGGGTCGGTACGGTACAAAATTATACCGTAGCCGGCTAACCGGCTATGGTATAATTTTGTACCGTATTTAAATTAAATAGCCAAATTTATAATTTATTTCCTTTCGAAGAAATTGTTTTAAGAAAGCAACCTAAAGTTAATTAATTACATTTAATTTGTACATTGTACAAGAAATGTTATGTCTATACTAATATTGTAAAGAGGAAAGATTTGTATTTTTGTGTGTATGTTTGTATTGAATAGGCTCCGAAACTACTGAACCGATTTGAAAACTTCTTTCACCATTAGGAAGCTACACTATCCCTAAGTAACATAGACTACATTATATTTCCAAAAAAAATTAGGGATCCTTACTTAAACTCTAATAATGTAACCCAAGGTGTAAAAATATTACATAAAAAATACCTAACACTGCGTGCACTGCAAAAAGTATTGATGACAGAACAAAATGATGTACAACGACTTTGTAGAACAAATTAATTATCTACAAAATGTGTCACGACGGCATATGTCCAACTATTATGTCACAATAAGTGTTCTTTTAATTTATAAATTTAATTAAAATGCCGCCGCTAGAATAAGCCCTTTATTTGTATCTTGCTATTAATCCTTATCAAAATAAATTAGTTCATATTCACGACTGGTTCAGTATCTTTATATAACTTTTAGAATTATTCAATTTGGACATTCCATTCGAAAGATATCACTTATTTAAAAATGTAAGTAGTAGAACAAAAACCGCGCTCGGTTAACTATAAACCAAATATATGTAATGTAGCTACATATGTAGGGGCGTCATTGGTGTTTGGGAGGGGATACTTGCTAAGATAATCAGGGAAAATAGCGATAGCAATTACTTCGTCAGGAATTGTTGCACCTCTCAAATTTTATTTCCATGCCATGGAAAAAAAATTTGGTGATGAATTACTACAAAACATTATATTGATGGTAAATTACTACAAGAGGCCTTTGTGGAATGAATGCACCATGTGCTATAGAGCACATATAGAGGCCGTGGATACCTTAAAAGATCTTAGAAATACCTCTGCTCTCATGGGCGGAATTACTTTTGTATTTGCTGGAGATTTCCAACAGACTCTCCCTATCATTACCGTAGGTACGCGATATCATAACAGCATGCTTGAAATTATCTCTTTTATGATCTTTAATTGAAAGTTTAAAATTACGGATGAATATGAGAACTAATCTTCACGGAATTACAGATAGTGATTTCCCACAACAACTGCTCAAATTTGAGGAAAGAACTTTCCCACTCCTCACTCTTACTTTAAACAAAAATTGTGATATCTTTCTAGATAAGTCCTTAGGTCAAATGGTCCATAACTTAGAAATTTTGATAGATGCCGTTTACCTTGATCTCGAGAATTTGCTCGAAAAAGGCTTTCATTGGTTATATTCTAGGGTAATTGTGTCACCTAGGAATGATACTGTCAACGAAATAAACAAAAAATTACAAATCAACCGACACCGTGGCTAATATCGAAGACGCTTAATATCGAAGAGTTATTCACCGGAATTCTTAACTTCAGTAATTCCTTCTGGACTGCCACCACACGAATTGACGTTAAAAATCGGAATTACAATCATGCTTTTGAAAAATTTAAGCCCACCGAACATGTGCAATAGGACGAGGTTGCTTACTAAGGAGTTGAAGGAGAATTCAAATGTAGCAACAATTATCACCGGCCCGGCAGGACAATTGCAAATAGCTCCCAAGTATTGTTGGACAATGAACTGGCTCAAACTGTTAACAGTCTAGAAATTCTTCTAGACACAATCGCCACATATAGAGTCGACATCGAAACTCTTACAGAAAATCATTATATACTGATGACATCTACAAATTCCACTGCCAACGTAGCGTACACTGAGACTTTAAGATATAAAAAGGTAAGTTGAATATATACACCTAATACCTCAAAAAAATCAAAATATGAAAAAAAAAACAAACCAAACTATAAATAAAAAAATATATAAAAAACTTGCGAAGCCGGACGGGCCGCTAGTATATAATATAATAATGATCTAGATCATATTTATCCGTAATTTATGTATATATTTACGAAATAAATTAGAAGAAGTGAATATTTAGAATATATTATTTGTAGTTATGCTAGTGTTATAAATATTTGGTGAATAAATACAAAAATAATAATATAATACACATGGAATATTCACAGAACGCAATGTAGTTGCAAGCTTAGCACATTTTGTGTTATGGGCACTAGACAACTGATATAAATACTTAGATAATTGTTTTAGAAAACCTTCTGACAGATGCAAACAATCATATTTATGAATAAAAATGTTCATACATTGCGAGGAATGTGTTATGTGCTATTTATGTGACGCAGGGTACCATCATGTGGATCCGTAACCTGCTCGATTTTCCAAGTCATATACAAAACATGTATTTTTCTATAGCATACAATACTCTATAACTTGTACCAAGATGTTTCAAGATGATGCAATAAAAACTTGTAACTTTAACTATTATTTTCAACTGTAGTTACTGGAAATAAAAGAAAATGGCAGCAGTACACAAAACAATTGAGTGAATATCTAAATAGCTTTGTAAAGTTAGTTCTAAAGGAATTTTAAAGTATTCGTCGGAATACCTTTTCTTGTAAACACTTGAAAAAAGTCTAGGTGTAAGCCAACTTTTGTGACTAAAGCATGCAGTGTGCAATAATGCGAACGTAAACAGTGTGCCCAGAATAGAATCAAAATTATTTTTATACGAATAAAGTTAATTGTTAATTTTTATTGTGTATATTTTATTATTTTATCACAGCCACACACAGACGGCTTTTTAAACTAAGAATAATAGACCATAACTCTCAGTATGAAAAGTGTCTTCAATAACAACTATTGCAATAAATAATAAAATACAACTAAAGTAGTCCTAATAACGAGACGAGAGACGAGTACGCCAGTATCATGCAACCGTACACGAGTATGACGGAATCAGCTAAACATGCTCTTTTTACAGAAATACTCGTTTATTCAAATTATAGGTACAATATTATTATTATTAATGTTCTATGACATACATTTTCTAACACGTGCGGCCAATTTAACACATCAGGAGCTTAATTTGCATTTGTAACTCTGATAGAACTTTATACGGTACTTAGTTTGCAATTTACATTATAACGCTGCATAGGCACGTAGGATTTAAATACGATGTTGATATAGTTTAAACCGTGAATTTGTTCAATTGAATTAAAATAGAAATATCTTGACTACAAACTTTTTTTATTTAATATCTAACAGTATTTCATTAAAATTTTTGCTATTTGAGCAAGAGTAGCAGACTTTTTTTTTATACCACGTAGGTGGCAAACAAGCATACGGCCCATCTGATGGTAAATGGTTACCGTAGCCTATGAAGTTGAAAGATGAAAGAAAGACGTCCAAACATAAGTAATTATTTTCAGTACTACCTTTATTACAGTTTATATTGTTTGTCACGTGAATATGTATTGGTCCTAAACATGTGTATTCACACTAAATATTATACATTACAGAATCTGATATTTTTTTAATTATTCATATTATATTGTTATTCATAGTTTACTTTTATATAAGTTTAATTGTTTTATTATGAAACAATTTTCTCGTCGGCATTGTTATTAACTGACGTTAATGGATTGAAGCGAAAAGACTATTCTTTCATCTCTATAAACATGACAGAGGTAGTTCTGTCTTTTTTGTAGAGATGAAGTTTTCTGTTTTGTTTCTGTTCACAGTGTCTAAAGGCAAAACATAATTTTCATGCAAATTTATATTCTTGTTCTCTTCTGTTTCCAAATGAGGGACATTATACAAAAGGTACACCTAAAACAATTTGGAGGTGGACAATGAAAAAATGGTGGTATTTTAAACTTACTCAGGTATTCTATTAATGTATGGATTTTCCTCAGACTCCATTATTTAGTGTTTTTGGTTGATCAACATCTGTCAATAAGGTTGCTTTTAGATACTGTTAAATATTTATCTTCTTAATAGTATGTGAATCATATGCTGTACACTAGACCTGGTAATAGACGATAAATAAGTATATATAGTAAATATGAGTGGATACTATTCCGTTGGTAACATAAACACATTTATGCCTATGTATCGGTATTTACAGCTTAAATCCGTATTAGTATTCCGCACACAGGACACTATTGTACGGGCGATTTAATCAACAGCCTGTTGCTATTTTACGCAGTTGACCGCTGCCATTCCAGCTGACCACTTTATTCCTAATAGCCAAGTTAATATTTCTTATGTTGAATCATTGGCTTTCTTTTATTAATTAAACCTCTGAATGGATTTTGATATATTAATCTTCGTATAAATTGTCCCTAAATCTTATATTATTAAAAAAATATAGATATAATGTTAACATGTAATGTATCGATATTTTTAGTGAA